TATAGCCATAACAACAGAGCTGGATGTCCTGATCCTGAAACTGGAACAGGTCCAGCAAAGTGCAGACAGGACAGAGCAAGGTGCACTAGAAAAGCCTGTGGATGGAGGTAAGGGCTGAAATCACTTTTTACATTGTTTTTCATTTCCAAGAATCTGCTAACAGCTTCCTGTTCCTCTGAAAGTAGGCTCAGACAAGGTCTTGTCCCTTCAGAAAGTATTTTCAGATCATCCTACAATGGTAAACTGACTGTTACAGGGCATGAAGGGCTGTACCAGACTGCAGCTGGAGGAACACTTCACACAAACATGACATCGTCCCACACAATCCAGGACAGTGCAGCCTCTGCAGATGTACAGTTGGGTCCCTGTTTTGGGGTGCCAACATGGGCCAAATTAGAGCACAGAGTCGTCGTTCAGGGTACTGTCTTCAGAAAAATTACTCTGTCAGTGTCACTACCTGCATAACTGGCTTACACGTATAAGAATTATTCTGTGGTGATGTCTGTGTACTTTTGTAACCATTAGTAGGCTCAGAACCTGAATAATCAAGCAAACTCTCCTTTTTCAGTCTTTTATCTTATTCAGGGGTTTGGCTTACCATCCTAGAAATCCCAGAAATAGGTGTACTCAGTAGGTTTCGTTCCTGTGTAGTGAAAGAAATCAATTATCCATTCCTACCATTCCAAAAGTACAAGTGTCAGATGAACACCAACAAAGTCCTTCCTGTATAATTGAGGAAACTTGTAAGGATTGACTTTTAGAACTGGAATCTGTACCAAGAAAAAATGTAAAGGTAAATAAGACTCGTCAGATAGGGAGAATATAAATGGAGTGTTCTTCACTAAGTGAAGATGGGTCTTTTCTCAGATAATGGCATCCTGCGCCTAGTTGGTTTTGTTACTAAAAAGTAAAAAGTTCCAGTTACTTTCTGAGTGTTGTTAGGATTTGCGTTCCAGAACTTAATTGAGTTTAAGATAACACAGCTTTCCATGGTAGCTGCCTTTTCCATCTCAAAACCTCTCCAGCCAAGACACAATGTTTTGATGAGCAACCATTGCAGTACAGTTGCCTCAGACTTATCCTCTAATGAACAGTTTACCTGCTTTTGTCAGAAATCTTGACTCTTAGATATTCAGACTGTTGAGGCTTAAATAAGGAATTTTTCCTGTCTTCTACCACAGCTGTTCTCAAAATCTCATGGTTTGAGGAAGCCAGTGCTAGCTAGGTAGCTGTAACTGGAGTATTTAATTGATACCATCCTCTTACTGCTGAATGGAATGGTTTGAGCAGTTAAGATAGCGTTTTTTCATTGTTCAGGTGTGAAAGATGAAAGCCCTTCAACACATGCTTTGCAGCTGGAATTAGATGAGTTCATCATATGTCAGAAGCCTGTGGAACTGCTTGGGGAAGAAAGTAAGCTGTGTGAGATACCAGTCACACTGGAATCCACAGAGCTGCCCACAGAAGACACGAAGCGCTTCCAAGTGCAGTACCTGCTTTTCAGGTATTGCAAATGTCTTTTCCCTTTTTTGGGTTAATTTACTACAAGAAACCAAAATGAGTTGTGGATTATGTCTTGTTGAAAAAAAACTGTTATCTTGACTTCTTGGGTTTTATAAGGGTTGGATTGTTTGTTTTTTTTAACTGAGGAAATAACAGGATACCAGAAAAAGACCATGCTTTAATATATTGGAATATCTCACTTGGGTGGGATCTGCAGCAGTCATCTAGTCCAACTGCCTGGCCAAGTCTGGGCTGAGCCACTGTTAAGAGTATCATTAAAGGCACAGTCCAAATCACTCTGAAACATTGACAGGCCTAGGGCATTAACCAGCTCTCCAGGAAGCCTGTTCTGTGTACCACCACCATCTCAGTAAGAAAATGCTTGCTCTTGGGCATTGCTGGGCTAATGCATTGGTAGTAGGAGTGCACATTGTTGTTGAGTGTTAAAACATGACCTATTCCTGTTACAGCTGATGCTGTTTACTTGTCCAAAGTAGATCATAATAATTTCTCACTGAGGTCCCATGTTGTCGTTTTGGGGTTTTTTTCTAGACGTTTCACACCTGACCAGTCACCTTTTGGGTTCTGTGAAGAGACAAAGTTGCACTCCCTTCAGCTGCTGCCTGTCTACCAGACAGGTACGTGGATATGAATGAATGCACTATGGCCTGTGTCAGAGGAGACCTAGGAAGGGAAGGAGCTTCTTTGTATATCCTGTTTTGTACACTGTTTCTGTATGATTAGTTTTAAATTGTGATCTTTTATGGAAAAAATTCATGCTGTATGTTAGCAGTCAGATCTCCTAGAGACATAGAATCTCCTGAGCTGGAAAGGGCTCCTAAGGATCATTGAGGCCAACTGATGCCCCTGCACAGAACCCCAAGAATCACACATGTGCCTGAGAGCATTGTCGAAATGATCCTTTATATATAACTTCTGCCATTTTCAGGCTTTTTTTCCCTTCAGTGAGGGCCTGCGTTTTGGTGAGCTGCAGCTCTGGATAAGCATTCATCCCAAGTTACAAGTAATTGTCTTAAGAACAGGCTGATCTTTCAATCCCTGGGTGCTTAGTTGTGGTGAATTTTCCAGGACTCTTAGATGCTGTTACATCTGTAGAATTTCTTCACTTCGTACATCCATACTTTAGTGAAAATGCCTCCAGATGAGATAACATGACTTGAAAATTTCTGACCTGTGTGCTGAGCTTCATATAGTGCTTTTTCTCTTTACTAGCTGCAACTTGGGCAGATTTGACAGTATCTTTTAGGCATCAGGCTTGCAATGGAATTGCCAGGTTTTGATTTATGAAGTATATAAAATGTTTTTCTTATTGTTACATCTAGGAAGTTCTGTGACAGCCCACGAGGAAACTGAAAACAGGAGAGAACTACTGAGTCTATTTTGCTTTTTCTCTTTACCTCATGTTGGATATGTCTACTCTATTGGGAAGTTAGTAGAACTGATTTCTACTTACCAATATTCAGAGAAGTCAGAGCAGGCAGTCCTTACTCCACAGTTCCTGCATGTCATTACAAGGTACTTTGTCCATGATTTTGCTGACAGTATTACTGTTTCTCTATGCTGCTGCCCCTTTTTTTTATCCTCTGATACATCCTTCATAGCCTCTTGGAAATCTCTGGGCAGGCTCATGTGTTTGTCCAGCATGCCCTCCTGCTTAGGCTTTAAAGCCCATTCCTTCAGAGCAAAAAGATCTGATTCTCTGTAGTCTTGACTACTTGATTTTTGCAAGTCTTAATTTCTTTCCTTCACTGTTGTGTTTTCTTCTCTCCCTGCAGTGAGAACCTGCAGTGTTTCACAGTGCGGTGTGGTGCCGCAGCAGCTCGTGATGAGGATCCATACATTGATACGACTGTGAAGGTGCACTGAGACAGTGGGGGCAGTGGAATGGCACTTAGCTGGCTTATGAAGATCTGTTAGTTTCTATTGGCTGAACCAATGCATAACATCAATCATACTTCAATCTATTGCAGTTGTGTTTTGATGGTCTACAGATGTCACAATGAAATAATCTATTACTGCCGTTGAGGATTCTAGACCATTGGTAGAATGTTTTTAAAAACACCTAAAGCTATAAAGTCACTTATGTTGCAAACTAAATTCCACACTTTTCTGTATAAAACTGAATGAAGGGTGCAGAGTTTTCCCTGATTGTAGCTAATGATGTTTCTGTCTCTCATATGTCTTTCAAAAAACAGTTTTTGTAGACAATTGAACAAGTCTGCTACCAGATACTTAGGGCATGTTTTTTAGAAGGGCTTTTAATAAGCAACTGAAATCAAGACTTTTATAACCAGGCAGTCTTTTTCAACTTGGCCAAATTCAGCCTATTTGGGATTAGCTTTCCCATGCCAGGTGTCTCCCTCAGGCTCTGTTACTTTGAGACATGCACCTAAACTGTGTAGTTGCTTTGAAGAATGAAATGATTCTTGTCATAGTTTTATGAGTATTTTTATTCTTGCTTAAGTGAAGCACTCAAAGTTAGGAAAACCAGTGAATGTTTTGAATGTCAGATCATTGTACTAAGGTTACTTTTTTACTTCTAATTTGTTTAAAGACTCAGAGTACAGACTGACTGAAATCACTAAACAATCACTTTCCTTTATAGGCTTGTCCCCCTGTCACACTGGATGTCTGTACATTAAGAATGCAGCTTTTTATAGGACCAAGAGCTATCTGTCATTTCAAAAACCATATAGTTCTTTTGACTAAGGCAGACACAGAAGATATTACTGAAAGAAGAAAGCCTACAAGAAGGATGCTGTAAGGAGATGGTATTTATAGTTCTATGTACAGTGCTGAATTTGTGGGTCTTGGAGTTGAAGAGTGGTTCCTGTGTGGAAATACTGTTTGAATTAGCAAGTCAGGGGTATTTTTTTGGCTGCATAGTGTTTATTTCAACACTGACAACTCTTTTCCTGCTCTCTAGTTCCAGAAAGGCTGACAGCATCAAATCCAGAACAAATTCTGAGTCAGAGTCTGGTTGGAATTTATATATCATAAACACTGTTTCAACCATTCAGCTTTACAGAGAAATGGTACTGCCCACCTCCTGCTTTTGGTGTTTGCTAACTGAAAATAAGTCCTGTTTATTAACCTCTGGTGCATGTCATTGCTGAATGTAACTTCTTTCTCGTGAGTAGCCCATAATCCTATCTCAAATGGCTGCTGTCCTCATTGGAATTGTTCTGTGTGTCTTTAATTTCTGCCAGCAGCCCAAGTGTGTCCTGTGTCTGTTCCAGGTAGATTATAGCAGGACTTACGAAAATGTGAGAACTGAGAGCTGCATCCATCTGCTAAGTGAGGCTCATTTGCTGCTCAGAGCAGCTATCATGGACCCTCATTTCCTTGAATCAGATGAGAAAGAAGAACTTCTAAGGGCATTCAGAGAAAGCTGTGCCACCTTAGGAGACTGCTACAGCAGGTATGTTTGAGATGTCAGAGTGGTGAGCTTTGTTTCCAACAGTGTAACCTTAAAATGAAAATCCATAATTCTTTGCTGTTTTACATTAGTATTGCATATATAAGTCTTTATGTTCTATGAAAACAGGTTAATTCAGTCACCTCTTCAGTCTGTGGTTGTCTTTACTGTCTTTAAACACAGAATACGCCATCATGTTGAATATGAGCTATGTATGTGCAGATAACTGATGTGCTGAGACTTTGTCTGACATATGGTTTTAGTTCTTAGAGTGATGGCAAAATTGTTGTCCTGAGTTATTTAGGGTTTTTTCCCCCTTCCTCTCTGTTTCCTCCAGGTTTGACACAAAGGATTACCATCTTGCTTTGCCGTACTACAGAATGTCAGGTTTATCCATGGCTGAAGTTTTAAATAGACTAGTTTCAGGTGATGAAATACAGACCTATGAAAGAGGATTTCTGTTTTACTTAACTCACTCTCTTAATGAAGACTTGAATGAAGAATTAAGTAAGGTAGGAGCAAGTTGGTTTTTTTCTAATCTGTTGATTTAGTTCTGATTTTAAGAACTGTGTATCAGATTTTAATCAAATTCCCTGTGAAAATGCTGACCTGCTTATTTAGGTTTACAGTTACTCTTTTTCACATGATTTTTATTTTCCCTTTTTTGTTGAAAAAGTAGCAAGCAGCACCTCTGATGCTTTGGGTTGCTTTCAAGCAACATACTATGTGTTAGGCTATCATGATGCATCTTGCTAGTGATCTGGTTCCCACTTGCACACAGAGACACTTCCATTTCAGGAAAGCTCTGCCTCAAATTTATCTCATCTCCCATTTCTGTAGCAAAACAAACTGCTTCTTAAAACACTGCCAAATGGTACAAGTTGGTAAAAACAATTCACTGTGGTAGTGGATGTTCTCCTAGCACCCCAGAATATGAGTTGAATCACTACCAGTTAGAGATTCTTTACTTTTACCAGCAGGGAGGAGAGGGGCAGGATAGGCACTGTGATTTGATAGCTAAGCTGTGCTTGTCTGTTTAAAAGAAAAAACCACAAAAACTAAAACAACAAAACTGCACTGCTTTCATGTGCCATAGAAAGCTGCGTTTCTGAAAAGGTCTAAACTGTCCAATGTTTTTTTTTTCAATAGGAATCAGCAAATAAAGTTCTCCAGATATTCTATCTTGCTGACCCTGTGCAGCTGCCTCATGTCCTTTGCAGCCCCTGCATGAGAAATGTGTCTCCTTTGACAGCTGTCAAGTACCTTCAGAAAGTAGAAAAGAAGATGCCATCAGTGGTCCTGACTCTTACTAAGGCTTTTTTTGCTCTGAAAATGAGAGACCTGATAATGTATCAACATGAGATGGACTCCTATAAGGAGGTAAAGTATGCTGAGAGCATGAGGTGTTCATGCTTTGCAAAGCCCAAGTCAGTAGTTGACTTGGGGTTGCATTTTACAGTAAATATAGGAAACACTGAGTGTGCTGAGTTGAGTCATATATGTGTTGAACTCTTAACCTGATTAATACCTGATTATGTTTGTAGACAACACTGGCTTGTGGCTTTGTTGGGCAATCACGACTCTTGAGACAGTGTAAGGAAGGAATTGCTATGCCAACTGAGTTTGCTGTTCACCTGAAGGAGACACAGCCTGGTTTACTGGTGGCTGCCATTGTGGCTTTACATGAGAACAGTAAAATAGAACTGGAAGAAGCAGATACCTTTTTCAAGGTTGGCCTGTGATCATTTTTATACTCCTATTTTCTCATAGTGATGTTGTTGTGGGTAAGAAAAGCAGCTTCAGCTGCTCCTTCACTCACATTTCAGCATTTCTTCAGAAAGAGGGAAAGGAGGGTTGGAGATATTCCAGTCAAGACAGATGATTACAGAGTCAGAAATTGGACCTTCTGGAAAGAAATACTGGTTAAGTAAAGAAGAAAAATTTAAAAAAAATCCATTAAGTTCTTTGTTTTTACCCGGTCAGTTGAATGGAGAATACCCTGACCTCAGAGGTCTTCCAGTGGCTTCCTAGTAATTTGAGTTTCTTGAGGCTACTGAAATTTAACAGAATTGAGATAAATGACTTCCATAAGCTCCTTTTGAAAAAATCATTAGGATTAAAATATAATTCTAAAGAATCAGACTTCAGTAGGATGTTACATAATGTTCTGATGGTCTGTATAAATCCCTGAAAGAAAAGTGTGTCTCTGCAGTTTGTGAGAAGAATAGAATGGTTGTTTTGGTGTCCCTGAGCTTTTGCTTCTTTGGACAGGGAACAGACAAACCTTTTTTCTTTCCTCTGCAATGAGTAACATTACTTGGGTTAAAACATGTTCTTCAGTGTAGGTATGTTGCAGTCTTCCCATATGTTGCTGTGAAAGATCTGTATCAAAAATAGCAAGTCATGAAGTTCAAATTAGAACAAGTATTGCTGTTTAAAGCCATTTGGAAACCAAGTCAAAGTCCTTTTTGCTGACACCACAGGCCTTAAAGCATCTCCCTTGTGGGTCCTACCATAATACTTGCTGACTGTGCTGACATTTCTGGCAGCAGAGTAAATCCTGAAGAAGAAATCAAATCTGTTGTTTAGAATTGATTACCTTAAAATCATTCCATGAACTTTTTACTTTGTCTAGCAGTATATTAAGTAGAATCACAGGACAAAAAAGGAATCAAAATTCTGCTTGTAGTCAAAGTGAACAACTGTACCTCCTGTCTCTTCTAAATTCTGCTACCAATAATCACCACAGTCTGTGCTAACTTCCTGTGTTCTATCATTATTGTTCTTAGCTGTTGTGTAGTAACAGTGAAAACACTGTTCCTCAGCTCTTGGTGGATTTCTGGGAAGCTCTCCTTGTAGTGTGCCCTCAGGAAGAAATACTTCAGGAGCTCCTGTTGAGGGTTACTTCTCAGTATGTTTGGAGAATATCAAAGAACCAACTTCCTGAGACTACACCATTGAGAACAACAGAGGATCTGGTAAGTGGTAAAACCACTCAGAGGAAGTTGTAGGACTGCAATGTCTCTCCAAAATCCATTCTTAGTATGCACATTCTGGACAGTTTAGCTCATAAAAGCAGCAGAACTGAAAGCAAATAAGGTGGTGAGCAGTTACCAACTGATATTGCTGGCTTTGGGCAGTGCTGTTCCTTGGGCACATGTGCAAATACACTCCCAACACGAGTCTCAGCTGTGGATAGAAATCAAGGCTAAAGTGGAACAAGGAGAGTTTGGTCAGGTGGAGTGTTTGCAATTTTACAAGGCTAACTAAATGAGAAAATTGTGTGAGTGATGAATTTTGATAGATTATGAATAGGGAAACCTGAAATACAGAAAGAAATACAAGTTTCCAGTTTGTTGGTTACTAAATTGCATGAACTAGAAGAAAGAGTAGCTGCTGCTCTAAATTATGCTCTTTGAGAGTAAAATTTTCTTCACTTGTGGAGAGTTTCACATGGAACTGTCGCTAACAGAAATGTTTCTTTTCCTGCAACTTGATTCTTTTTTGAATAGATAAACTCCTGTAATCATTTTGGGTTGATTTTCCCGTGGGTAACTTCCATAATGTCAGTGGGATGTTCATCTGATAAAGGTTACCATGAAGACATCTCAAGACTACAGGTATGAAACAGGTATTAAATCTTGCAGTTTACAGCTTAGATTAATTCTGCAACTGTTCAGGTATCATGAACAGCTTTCTGCAGCAGACTCCTTCCCCCTGAGGTATCCAAGTTGAAATAAAAGGCCCATTGACATGATGGAAGAACAAATCCTGAAGAGATCCTGTCGATAAAAATGATACTCACATTTGCATTACCCTAAACTTGCTTTCTCAGTTTTCAGCAGCATTTACTAAGGGACTTATTATTTCAGAATCACTGACAAGTAAAGGTTTCTGTTCTAAGGTTATGCTTAGCATCTTTTGCAAAGTTTTCTTAAATCCAAACAATATTTTTTCTTGTTGTCTTCAGTCTGTTTTGTGCAGTCAGTCAATCAATATAGCTTCAGCCCTGCCTGTCTTGGAGCCCCTGGCAGAGGCTGATAGTGTTGGCCTCACCATCCATGTTCTCTGCAACACCCGTCTGGGCAGGCATGAGGAAGCCATTGACCAGCTCCTCACCAGGTGTCCTGATGCTGCTGTGCTCTACGCTCAGCACGAGCTGAAAGGTGACAATCAGGTGTGCTGCTCTGGGTAAAGTTGTTCACCATCTCTTGCTTTGCATTGTTTTCCTACCTGAAATGCTGTTGTGTCCAGCTGGACTCTGGTTGGATCCCAGGGCCCAGCTTTCTAAGTAAATTGCTTAGCTGCATTGAACTCCTGGATTTGGTATTTTAATTCCTTCAATCAGTCCCAGTCATTTTTCCTCCAGTTTCTTCTGTCACTTAGTGTATTCATTATCGTAAATTTTAAGCATAGTCTTTTCATATGGCAAAGAAATCCCTTCCTTTCTCTCCATTCTTATCAACAAAACTGTGCACAAAGCAAATCACTACTGCAGCTGTTGGGAGTAGAGGTCGTGTCAGGAGACAAGAGCAGTGTTCTTGCACTAACACTATTCACCACTTTGCATGGAGCTGCATCAGTCTTGCTAGTTAGGTGACTTTTTTTTCTTCTAAACTTTTGTCTGTAGAGGCACTAGGGGCACTGTGTAAAGCTTTTTGAGCAGAAAAAGATTGCATGAAAATTGAAAAATACAACATGCACAAACTCATTGCATTTCAAAGCATTCTATAAATGAATCATTGAGTTCATCGTAAGCTACCTGTATGTGTACACATCTGAGCTTAGTTCAGCGTGTTTTTACCAGGTTTTTCATATTAATTGTAGTCCTTGTTGATTTACACTTTTGTTGTGGGTTTTGTTTTCTTTGCATTAGGCTCTGTGGTGGAACAAGCTGCTTCCTGAACTCTGCAAGAGAACTAGACTTACTGGAAATGACTGCCCTGTTCTTATTTCATCACTGAAAGGTAAATCAGTTGGTAGCATTAGTGCCATGTGTAGACCCAATGAGTCAAGCTAGAGGTGTGGTTTTAATCTGACATAATTTCAGTTCACTTTTGAGATTTCCTGCAGCTGTATTTGCACCCAAATGGTTACATCTCAAATTTCAGTTGCAATATAGATAATTTGATGACTTCAGTTAGTAATTACATTGTTAATGTTTGAGGTTTTTGTTTGTTCTAAACTCAAAATACCTAAACAAGATTTTCTCCCTGCTCTGAGCAGAAACTTTATCGGTTGCTGCAATGGAACTGGAACTAAGGGATTTCATCAGTCTTCTACCAGAGGATGGAACTGCAACATTTTTCCTGCCCCATCTTCTTCACTGCAGCCAGAAGAAGCTGCTGACCTAAACCAATGGAAATCTGCTATGCCCTCAAGTACAGAGAATGTGCTGGAATCAAAGAAGTAAACGAAACAAACAGTAGAGCTGCATATAAGGTATGGTGGGAGTTCCCTTACAGGAATCACCTTATTTTTCCATTGAAATCTTACATCAGCTATTGAAGGAGAGCTGTTGTCTGAGGCAAAGCATCTGTTTGGAGCTGACAATAGTGCCGAAGCAGCTAGAGAAAACAGACTATACAGCACAACTGGACATACAATGTTTACTGAGAGTAAAGAAGGAAGTCGGTCTTATTTATGTGTTATCTGGATCACTGACCTAGGGAGGAGTTGAGGCTCAGGCATGTGTCTACCTCTATGAGTAAAAGTAAGTACCTTACACTCCCAAGTGGAATTGGGCCCCACTGACTTCATTTGCAACACACACATTCCCTTGAATTGCAGCTGCCAAAAATCAGTCAGCTGTTCCATCATCTTAATTACATAGGCATGCAAGTGTTACACTGAAAATGTTTTCATTCAGCAGTTCACAAGGCCATAATTCAAAGACAAAGAAGTGGAAGATAGGGACCACTGCTCACTTGCTGGTGTTTGTTTTCTTTCTTCTGCTGTACTCAGTCAGGAGACAAGTATTTGAGTTATATCTAGGACATGAATCCAACTGAAAACTTAATTCTTCTAGGGTTTTGGTAAGCATCTGAGATTCTTGTGCTTGTATGTACTGATGTTTGTCTGTCTTGGGAGCAGAAAATATCTTTCTGTTCCTTCATCTGGAATTCTGTCATAATAAACTGCCACAATGTTTATGACTTTCTTATGAATGTAGTTTGGGTTTTTTGAGAATATACCACAAATTAAATGACTCCCACGATCCCATAACCATCTAAACCATCTAAAGACCTAATTAGCTGACACTGACGCTATCCAATCTGTTCTCACTGAAGGAGATCATCTGTGTTGCAGCAGAGAAGCAACTTCCTTTGTTCTTGCAGGTGCAAAGCCCAGACATGTTGCTGTACCTGCCTGTCCCATACATCCTTCCCTCTCGCTTAACACAGGTCTAATGTGTGGAATTGGGCTATGGAAGCACAGCTGGATGCATGACCATATCTGCTCTTACTGCTTTAATTTCTGGCCAGCATCAGCCATGCACTAGTACTGCTGCTTCCATCTGTCAGGAAACACTTCCTTTGCTGAGGGCTGCACTGCGTAACTAATAGCAAAATGATTCCACTGCAGGACTTATTTAATAGTCATCAGAGCAAACATCTTCTGTAAAGTAGTCACCAAATTTTGCCCTTCACTGTCTGCATTTCATCAGGCTTATTTCAGCATAACTTTGTCTGTCAAACCAAAACCATGTTGTGCAGCCATGACCCTCAGTCATCACATCTTTCCAGTGCACTATCTTGAAAGATGTTACTGGATAAAATTATAAAATAATTCAACAGAAGTAAGAGAACTATTTTCTTACCTACTCACTTATACAATCCTATATGTATTTTTCAGTGTGAGCCTATGGATGAAGTGATAACCAAATTCCTATTCTCTAAGCAATAACTACTAACATATCTGTCTAGCAAAATGTGGCAGTGTGATGGCAGATACCTAACACAAATGTTGCTGATACACAGGGTTACTTGCAAGCTTAAAACCAAAAACCATTTCATTATGCTCTTCCATGTTCCTCAGCAGTTAACTAACATGCATTAGGCATCACCTACAATATGTTTAGTGTGCAAGATACTATTTTTATTTAGATAAAAATATATTATAACCTGTTATATCCATTCAGCTGACTTGGTCTATGGCCCTTTAGTTAGCTGTGGTCACTATATGAAATCTTCTGAAACATACTTGGAGATGAGTTGTCCAGAAGAGAGTATTTCCCAAGAAATGCTTCACTGAAGGTACACCTTGGAGAGTCACTGTTAAAATGCCTTCATCATTCTCGTGTGCCTGCCATGCCTTTACCCTTGAACTGATTGAGTAATCTTGGGAACAAAGACCGATTATCTGTAAGGGGAAAATAGCTTCTGTTACACACTTTCCATCAAAAGAATAGTCTGTCCATGTGGCCAACAGAGTCCAAAATGAGCACAACAGATCCCAGTACCTTCTGGACATTGTGAGTTAGATTTAGAAATGGCTTTAAGATGCACTACAGGGTATGTTTAAATGCATCTTGGATGACTAATAATGAAAAGCCAAACATACTGTATCTACAAATTAAAGTCTGTTTCTACATGTCTTTCTGGGTGCTCTGAAATCAGACATTGTGGCACAGCATACTCTGTACAACAGTAGGGTTTATAAAACTAGATTGTCTTTCACATTCCAGTCTGTATTTCTAGTACAGATACAAATGTATGTTATATAGTTGTGTATATGCACATAAATACATACACATACATTTTTGAAATATTCCTACTGTTCTGTATCTGTGAACTAGCTGCAAGGGATACCTGTTATGCTCTGTCTTTTGAGTACTGGAAAGCATTGCTTTTTATTAACTTTGTAAATAACAAACTGTAAATTATAATAATAAAATTGTATTAACTTTGTAGAAACAAGAACTTCCAAAATTCTTCACGATTCAAGGTTTTTCACAAGTAACATTGCTAGACCAAGGTAATAGTGCCTGTAAAGCTAAAAACACATCCCTGAGAAAGAAAACACTAGTTTTTCAGTATTTCAGCTGTTAGGGATGATTACTTCGCCTCTATTTACCAACTGTTCTAGTTTAAATGAAGGTTGAGACAAGTCTGACACTACTGGCACATCCTGGGTACAGAAATACTCTTCTCTCATGAAGAATTCTTTTTTTAAAAACCTGTCACTTCAATTTCATGGATAAGAAGCTGAAACACGAGTCAGTTAACATCCAATCCTTCAGCTACTTGTTTCCTGAGCAGTGCTGAGGGAGGTGTGATCAGGTGGCCTGGACATGGCCTATGGCTGGATGCCTGAGCTGGCTCTGAGTACCCTGGCCTGTGTATGACCCCCAAACATAATGAGCATCACTGGGGCAGACAGCTCTTACCTTCCCTTGGGAGCACGGTGTAGGTGGTTTCCATGCCCGCGTGGATGTGGTCGGTAACGTGGCAGTGTAGCAGCCACGTCCCAGGGCTCTGCGGGGTCATTTCCACAACTTGAAATGTCCCAGGGAACAGATCAAAGACATCTGCCCGGTAAACCCCTGTTTGCTTCAGGACAAAAACAAAGCAATGAGCAAACTTCGGCATTACCAGATGGCAAGTAATTTAAGCTTTATCCATTTACCCAACAATGTTTTATCCCAGTTGCATGAAAAGACACCTGTGTGTCACTTCCACTGAAGCATCACTTTGTACATCACTTCATTCTTCCAAGTTTAATAAACTAGCAACTAAGTGGAAATGAAGGAAAAGTACAGCTTTTGGCTTGCCACAGCTGTGAAAAATTCACAGCTATCTTTTTGAAGTAACTCACAAGGTTAGTGGTCAGCAATGCTACTGGCAGACATTCTCTGGCTCTTCTATGTTGATCAAAACAAGCCCTGCTTAATACTGTGGCTTTTCACCACAGATTACAGTCCTTGGTATTTGACCTACCTCTTATTCTTAACACAGCAAGAAGTAAGTGAAAAGGACCTGATACCTTATAGTCAAAGCTGTGGCCATGAAAGTGTGCTGTGTGAATGTCTATCTCATTGCCCATTCCCACCAGATACCAGCTGACTTTATCTCCAACATGCATAGTCAGGCCATGCAAATTGCCAAACACCTTTCCATTAATGGCTAAAAAGAAGGAAAGAGCAAGAGAGAGAAAACATTAGATTTTGTGGATTGGTATTCTCTCAGCTTTAGTGTAATACAAGATTTGAAAGCCAATGCCAGACAAAATTAACAGCTTTGGACAGCACATTATGAATGGGTCTGTTTGTATTCCATGTTTTGCTAGAAAGTAAGTCATAGTAAAGAAAAGTTCTTTGCTGTACACCGTTGCTAATAGGGCAGATCTTAAAGACCTTTCTAAAGGGTAAGCTTTACCAGGATATGCTTCAATCAAAACTTCAGATTTTATTTTTACTATTTCTTGCCTCAAAACTTCAACATGGGAATATTTTAGGGGGTTTGGTTTTGGTTTTTAACCTATGGGCAAAAAAGTCATTCAGTAGCAATAACACTGTTTTCAAACAGTTTGAGTAAAATTTTTCAGGCCTTCTGCCATGGAACTGGAACTTCAGGGTGGATGAGAAAGTCAAATTTATGTGCAGTACTTTCAAGTATATAATTTTATAGAGATCTCAAGAGTTATAACTAAATCGGGAAACATACCATGCATTTTATTACTTTCAAGGAACTCCTCATCCTCTTTGTCAACAAGATGTGGGTTGGCAGAATAGGTTTTAATATTTTCATCCAAGTACCACGACTCATTTTCATCAAAAACCATAAAAAGAAGAGCAAATTGAACTTTCTTCTTAATATGAAATGATGGCAGATAATGTCTGTGACACACAACAAGTGTGCCTATCAATCCGCTGAAAGTGTCCTGAAATGACAATTGAAAAATCACATAACTGCAAGATGGAACTAAGCAGAAGCACTTTTAATGCCAGACATGAAGCCTCTTACTATCTTTACAGCTGTCAGTATCTGGCAATGCAGGCAGCCAGTGTCACACAAACAAAGTTATTTCTCCACTGTTACATGCTACCCATGGATCAAGTTCAATGAAAAGCAGCTGCCCCTGTTTAATTTCTTGCTAGAAATAAACACTTATTTCATGTTAGTTTCTTGCTCATTTTTTCTCCCCAAACTACTTTTATAATTTTGAGCTTGGTTTCCATTCAAAATATACCTCTTGACTTTATTTGTATTTGTTGAGACATCAAGGCAAGGTTACATGGATTCCCATTAAAAATTATTCTTAATGGGTGCTTGGTAAAAAATGGCAGAGTTGTGTTCCACAGCTGCATATTAGCTTTCCCACACATGACTGATTAGCTATTGAGCAAGCTATAAAGTGTTAGCTGTAAGAGGGAAATCCAAGTGAGGTGATCTGTACCAGCAGCAAGAACATGGAGGGCTATGACTCTCAGAGTCTGCCCTGACTTTCTTGCAATTTGACTTCAAGAAACATTTAAATTCAAAGGTATGGTAATGGGGGAAATAACAGAGAAAGCAGAAAGAATTTCAAACTCATCTCCCTTTTGCTCTAAGTATATCCATGTTGGAGTCACAAACAAAACCCTTTAGACTGATACCAAGACTATACCTTAACCATGTCCACCGTTGAATGGTATGCCCATGCAATGCAGGGTGCATCTCCCTTCTCAGGACTAGATCTCAGTGGGATTTTCCAGACATATGTTTTTGTCTCACCTGAATTAAATAAATATCAATGAATTTTAGAAGTTTTCACACCTATAGCAGGTCATCCTGAAGCAGAAATGATCTCCATTCACAGCTTGTATTTGCCTTGAACTTCCCCTCCCCACTCACTGCACTGGCTAGCTCATGCTCCCTTCTGCAGAGCCCTGATTCTTCTTGACAGTGGTTTGGTTCAGGGTGTGTGCACTGTCCAGTGTACTGTACTTAATAAAGACAATTGTGGGGTTTTTTAAAGATCACAGCAGAATTTCAGAAATAATAGCATCAGCTATGCTTTCCCTATGTAGCCAAATCTGCTTGCCATGTTGCATCAAAAACTTACTGATCGGTCAAGGACCAGGACACATAGCAATAGTTAGCAGGGGCATTGGAACTGTCAAAATGTTTGTCCTAATCAGCATCAGCAATTTAAGAACTTGAGGTAAAACAAACAAACAAAAAGTATGTATTTCCTGCTTGCCAAACTTTACTAGAAGTCTTGTTAGCTGCTAGAAATAAAGAAGGATGTTTGATACCTGGGTTTGTTGCAGCAACAACAGAACTGTCTGTTTTCACTCCATGGGCATGGATAGAATAAGGTCTTGATGCTAAATTCTTAAAAACTATTCTCACTTTATCTCCAATGTTGGCCATAAGCAGTGGCCCTGTTGGGTTGAAAAGAAAGGTTAATTTGGTTTTACAAAAAATCAGAGCAGAGAGAGTTTGTTGTGTTCAAATACACAACATTGGCTTATAATTCAAATTAATATTCGTTACAATCCATGGATAATGTTCACTGACATGACAGCTTGAGATGCTGAAGTTAGACCTCCAAGTCTCAAAAGTTCTGAGCACCCACTGTGTATTTGAAGTAGGTTTGGATGTTGCTGCCCAGTTTCATGCTGGCTCTGGAAACACTGACCTCTGACCAGGCAGCAAACCAGAAGGGTTTTATCCCTCACAAAGCAAACAATGTAATCTTGCAGGGAAAGCACCATAATAAAAGTAGCAATTCCATGTAGGTTTCCCATGTAGGTTTAGGAACCCGGTTGATGTAGATCTATACTCAGCATTATTCAAATAGTATCTTTTGTTTTGTGTCACTACATTTTTCCCACTTTCAAAACTGAACTTGATGATGACTCTACCTTGAATTTCCAGGTGCTGCTGCTCCTCTGCTCTGTTTCTGGGAACACTGAATGTCTGATCGGTATACTCACGATACACTACCTTTTTGTACTTGGAGCCAATGAACTTGCCATTTTTACTTAAAAATGGATTGCCAGGGCTGCCAAAAGAAAAAAAAAAAAGCATTTCTTAATGTATTTTAAAACATCTTTTGCAGGTATGTCAATTAAGATCAAACAAGGATCCAGCTCAGTGAAACAGAAATCTCACAAACCGCTGGTATCTTCAACATGAAAACATTCTTGTTAAGCCCTGAGATTCCTCTTTGGAAGGTTAAAAACCTCACTAAAAACAGACCCAGTCTATGAAGTATTTGATCTCGGATTGATGATCTTGGAGGTCTTTTCCAACCCGGTTGATTTTATGAGGTAAAGAATTGTTACAGACTGTAAGTAATCAATTATCAGGACAAAGAAGTCATTGTATCTATGTCCTAATGAACCTTTTAAGCTTTCCACATCAAGAACTACCAACACCAGTAACTAATAAATGCACTATCCAGGATTCATGATCTGCAGCTGTCCCACAGAAGAGCTATGCTGGACTGTTTCTCCAACATTGTGCTGTCTGCCTCATAGTTAAATGGCAACAGGACTGGAGAAGGACCACAAATTCAAGTGGGCCCTAAAAATATACATGCAAAGAAAGTGTGTATAGAAATGTCTGGAGGGAGAAAAGGTTCAGAGGAGAAGTGAGTTGCTCCTTGGCTTTTTTTGCAGTTTTTCCCCTGTGTATATTCCAAAGTACCTTTCCTCATGGTATTGATGCCGCTCAAATTCCCATGTCCTGTTAGGAGAATAGTCCCATTCAATTTCCACTGCAGCAATGTAGTAAGTCTTTTCATGCAAGTATATAGATGGATCTATATTCCACCAGTGGCATTGCTTCACTCTGTAGTTCTGTTTCATGCCCCCGGTGTAGTGGTCTGTTGTCAGGCAAGACACTTCAAAAACTCCTAGAGTTCATACAAGAAACAAAAAGACTTGAGGACAAAAATCTGTTACTAGTAGACTTTAAGGTTGAATTACCAAAGCTGATTTCATGTTTAGAGACCAAGACAGAGGCTACTGCTCATGTAAGATCCAAATTCTTTGTGCAGTATGGCTGTGTGTAGTAATAAAATTCAGCATACAGAGAAGCTAGAAAAAACAAGGCCTTAGCATTAATAATGTATATCCTTACAGTTTGCTGCCCTCCAAACACAGCTTTAGCACACAGTTTACTACACAGTTTTAGCACCCCAAGGATCAAAATACCAGCAACTTAAAGCTTGTCTCGAAGCACAAAATGTTGATAGGTAACACTTAGTACGTTAGTAACGGGGCTTTTAAACAAGACCTTTACCTTCAGAATCAGGCTTCATAACAGCTGTAAGAAAGGTATGTGGAAAGAGATTTGCTGTATCCCTCCTTGTTCCTTTAGTTACAAATGTGTTTTCTGAGAAGTATATCCCATGGACATCGACTTCTGAACCCAAGCCCATCAAATGCCAGGAAACCACACTTCCTTTGCACATCTCCAGACCAGGCTGATTTCCATACATATAACCATTAATGGCTGTAGAAGATTTGAGGAAGCAAAACTGACCTTGATTAATATATTACTAAATTCTGCAGTACAGATTAATTAACAAACACTTCAGATGTAATGTGACACCTTAGACTGACAGAAATATCAATAAAAAATACTTTATCACATCAACAAAACTAGAGAATCAATTCAAGCAAAACAATTTCATCACCAGTGTTTATGAATAATTTCTAACTGTTCTCCTTTCAGTGCCTAAAGCACAAGTTGCTGCCTTGACCAACAAGAACCAACCCTGCTTTATACCTGCCAAGTGTTCAGGATGCATAAAGCATCCCACTTTATACCCTGCAACACCTCTAGCTGTAGAGTGGGGGCAATCGGAAAGGACCTGCCACTCGAGACTCTGAACACTTGGCATCATACTTGGAACTACCACATTGAATTGAAATTGAATTGCATTGAAATGTTTTGGAGCTTTTTCAACTGGAAAGAAATAAAATGTCTCTGCCACTATACAGTTTTCCAGCCTTCAACACAAAATCATAGAAGGAAAAACCTTATTGCAAAAATGAATATTTGGCTAACCAATAATTTTCTTACAGTGCATTTTGTTAGACTCTTGAAAGGCTTCATCATCCTTGTCAATTTTATCTGGATTTAGTGTAAACATCAAAATATTGTCATCCAAGTACCAGCTCAGATTCTCATCAAATACTGTGGCTAGTAGAAAAAACTCCACATTCACATTTTTCTGTTGAGAAGAAATAGCACAAAGGAAAATAGAAATGAGTGAACAGAAAGTGTCAGGAAAAAAAATTCTATGCTCCTAGTAATTTATAGGTCACAAAGTAGGATAGATGCATACATTGATACTGCATTCTGACAATCTCAAAGCTCTGTAATTGCTGTGTCTGGTGACTAAGTATCTGCTGCTAATGCTCTTTCTACCAGCAGAAACCACCTCTGGTAGTGAATTTGTATTTTGGTCTTTAAAGTCTCTATGTTTTCCTAGACATTCTCATCTTAGCTGAGACTCAGGTGGCAGCAGCTGCACGTGCCAATGGTGCCTTCACACTGCAGTGACTGTCCATCTGGAGCCAGACTGAAAACCAAACCCACTTTCTGCATTTTCTAGCACATGGGTGAGACTGTGAGGTGGAGAGAAGGTGGTGCAATTCGGGAGGACTACGCAGTTCAGCTGTGACAATGCAAATGCTTCCATTGTTCTTTGACTGACCTGTTTCCCAGAAGGAAGCAGAGCTCCTTTTCTGCACACCAGGAGAGGACCCACAAGGCCAGAGCTGGTGTCTCTGACTGCATCCACAGCTGAGTAATAAAGCCAGGTTAAACAGTCTGGGTCTTGCTCTGTTGGACCCACATCTTCTGGCACATCCCACTCGTACGTAAACGTAGCCCCGGGATTCACGTGAGAGGCTGGAGATTCAGTACCTGTTACAGAAACCAGCACTGGGAACCATGCCAAGCGACCACGGTTTGTTTATGGCCCGTGGCACTCGGCGGGTGGCACGGCGCGCTCGGGCGCCGCAGCACCCG